TGCATCGCTCGGTATGAGGAAGCATTCGGCGCCGCTCCTTCGACCCCAGCACCTGAGCCTCCGACATTTGAAACGCCGGAGATCCAAGGAGACTTGCTTGATGAAGAGTACACCCCAACAGTTTTGTCAGAGGCCGAAGAGGATGAAGATGAGGAAGTCCCAGAGTGTCCTCCGCCCTCTGATGATGAAGACGAACCTGAGGGTGATGAAGCTCGTGTTCATGCAGGCATATACGCCGTCCTTGCCATGTCTCATGATGCCATTTCTAAGAAAGCTCCAGAAACGACAGCAGTCGCTGCAAGCTATGAAAGCTGTCTTGGAGCAGCCGCAAAGCCCGAGCGTTTGCGCAGTCAGATTCACAATTCCCCAGGCGGCAAGATTCTGTTTGAATTCGCTTGTGCCTCAGACTCAGCACTCGGTAGGATCGGTGAGGAGCTTGGGGTTCAGTTGTAAGACTTTGTAGGGAACACATAGATCTTGCAAGTAAAGTGAACATCGACCAACTTGTTGAGCAAGTGAAAGCCATCCCTGGTTGTTCAATTCATGGTTCCATTGAATGTGGTCCTTGGAGTGCTTGGCAAAGGTTGAATGAAGCAAAGAACCCCAGGTTGTCCAACATCCTTCGAGAGAAGCGTAGGGAAAGTGTTTCAATGATGCATTCGTTCATCAGGGTCGCAAACCATGTTCTTGATAATGGTGGTTTCGTGTCTTTTGAGTGGCCAAGGTATTGCTCAGGATGGATGTGTGAGCCCCTAGCTTCCTGGATCACAGAAAGACAACTGCTGTCTGCCACGTTTGATGGCTGCACCGTAGGAATCACCGCCAAGGACAACAAACCCGCTCGAAAGCCGTGGAGGTTTGTCACAAATAATAAGAGGTTGGCTGATTCTTTGGGAATGTTGAAGTGCACGCATGACAAACATGCACCCCTTGAAGGGAAGTACACTCGAAACTCAGCCTTCTACCCAGAGCCTCTCTGTCAAATCATGTTGCGTGCTTTGTTTCCACATGTCATCAACGCTCATGTGTTTTGCATGCCGTGTACACCTCGCGTAAACCATTCCCATCGGCAGCATGTTGTCAAAGGGATGCCATGTGTTCCCATTGTCCTCACGCATGAGAGTGGTTGCAAAGAGTTTGTGACACCAGCATTTGTTCATCGTTTGTTGGAGCGTGCTGAATGGAAGGGCCGTCCAGAAGTCTACCTTGCCATTAAGAATGAGAAAGATGGTTTGGTTTTGGAGGGGACCTGGATTGAAGATGAAATTCGGTCAAAGGCGGACGTGATCAGGGATTTTCCCAATGAAACTCTGCATTTCGGAGCCCTAATGGTGATAGTTAGTAAAAAGGGATATGAAAAGAACCCACCTGACTGGAGAATCAAGGCTCGGATTGTTTTCCGAGGTGACGCAGTCAAGGATCAGGGGGCTTGAGCGCCATCTTCCAAGATCTTGCTGCTTCCGCTCCGAGTTCGATTGCAGCTTTGAACACAGTGATAGCCTTTTCGATGATCGAGGGAAACACTTGTTCAACATCTGATTGCGTCCGGGCATACATCCAGTCCGCACTTGGCACAAAGCATCGAACATTCGTGATGCTACCGCCTGAGCTGGTGCCGGAGTCCAAGAAGCATGTCCACATGCCTTGCGCTCAGCTGTACAAGAGCCTTTATGGCCATCCAGAGTCGTCTGCGCACTGGCAGGCCCACCTTTCCAGGATCTTGCATGAAAAACTCAACGGTGTCGAGTTTAGTGAGATGCCCTCGGTTTTTCGGTTCGGTCGTTCTTTGGTGATGAGCGTCTATGTAGACGACCTTACACTCTCAGGAGTAGCCTCCGAACACGAAGGATTCTGCAAAGCCCTCAAGCAGTATATAAATTTAGATCCACCGTCAGAATATCGAAGAGTCTTAGGACGAAACCATATGCCATAGGCTTGTGTGGTTTCAAGGGAGCAGTGGCCTTAGAATCAGCAGACTTCGCAAAACAGTGCGTGGAACTGTATGAAGAGCTGGCGAAAACGCCGATAAAGGCCTACTCCTCGCCCACCTGGGACGACGGAGCCTTGATCCCCGCTGATGACGAGGTCAAGGGGCAGCTCTTGCCACATTCGGCCAAATTAATTCTGAAGTTGATGTGGCTCTGTCGCATTAGCAGACCAGACGTCACATTCGCTGTCACTCTGTTGGCGAAACACATTACGGTGTGGTCGGCCAACGACGATAAAAGAGTCGCACGACTCATTGGGTACTTGCACAAGTCCCATCAGTACTCCCCCGTGATGTGCATTCGTGATCCGCCGGAGCAGTTGAATCTCTCCCTGTATTGCGATGCCGATTTCGGTGGCGACATCAGGTCAATGCGCTCAACCTCTGGATTCGTGCTTGCTGTGTTGGGTCCCTCCAGCTTTGCTCCGGTGAGTTGGGGCACAAAGAGGCAAAGCGTAGTTTCTCGGTCAACTACGGAGAGCGAGTTTGTATCGCTATCCACAGCCCTCTTCTCAGAGGCAAAACCTTGCAGGTGTGGCAAGAGTTGATCCCCGGAATGACCCCAAAGATTCTCGAAGACAATACAGCTGTGGTCTTGATTATTCTGAAAGGTTACTCCAACAAATTGAGGCATTTGAGCAAAACCCACCGCATACATGTGGCCTCAACTGCCGAGACAATAAATACTGCTGATGACATCACAGTCCAGCATATCGAAACGACTCAGCAAAAGGGTGACGTGTTTACAAAAGGATTGCCGTTAGCCAAATGGGGAAATGCCTTAGAGTTGTTGCAGTTCTCCCTGAGTCCGCTCCCGTCTTATGATGCAGGCAGGAGTTCGCATGACTAGAGCTAAGCAATAGTCTGCCGCAGTTCGATGCCAAGCTAGATCTGCAATGAATGAAGTGGCTAGAGCTAAGCGATAACCAGCCGCAGTTCCAAACTAAGTTTGATCTGCCTGGAATGAAAAGTCTAGACGATGCATGCCGTACAGTGCTATTGCCGAGCATAGCGCCAAGCTTGCATGAAGGGATGTCTGGCTGCTTGAAGCGCCGCTCCCAAGCTGCCGTTCGTCAGCCTGTATTGTTCGCTTGCAGTCTTTCGATAGGAATTGTCAGGTCACAGACGGTTCAATCAATGAAGCGACTGTCTCAGACCTGGAATACTAGCTGTACATATGTTCATCTCACTATGAGGGGGGACTTGAAGTTTCCTGTGTAAAGTACACCTCATATGTAAAGACACAGTTCATGAACATTTGTACTTTTGGCTCAAGTGGTAAAAAGGTCCGCAGCCGCTGCCACTTCGCGGTCACGACGGATCTTAACTTTGACTTGTTGTTTTGGGTTGTTGCTTGTGTTGGTGTTCCGGTTTTCAACGGTTCAAGTATCATAGCTGCTCAGAAGCCTTTCAGAAAGTGGAAATGGATCATTACAAAGGCACAAATTTCCACGTCGCATGCTACGCAGCACAGAGAAACTCAGCGCACATTGGCACAAACGAATTAAGTTCAGAAGCAAAAACGTGCGGCCAGCCTCCAAGATACAAGACGTCAACAGATTATGTTTCCACGGTGCGTGCTTCGAAGGTGAGTTTCTTGGAAACATTGATGAACCACAAACTGAAAAGATTGGAACTGAGTTCGCGCGACTGTCAGATTGGCATCGGCTTCCGCTGTGCGTGGGATCCTATTTGCGACCCGAGCGCCACCAGTCAGGACCATAGCGATAATAGTAATAGGATGTAATGGGTGCATTCTGCCTGACGCCATCCAGGCATACTGCCCGTATCATGGTCCACGTCGCACCAATTTTGCACAAAATTAGGAGCCTTCCCCAAGCAGAATAACGCAGCATTGGGCAACCGGCGCCAACCTGAACTTAGACAAAAAACCTCTGGCGTGTCCACGTCTTGCTTCAATCAGGAGCCCCCACGAAGGCTGGAAATGAATACTGATCACAACGAGTTTACAAATCAGGGTTTGCGTTTTGCCGAGGGTTCAGTTTTTTGCAGCCAGAAATCATGCTACAGCTGTCCCCAGCATGAAACTGAGATGTTTCGGGGCGCTACTCATTCTTGGTCAAGCGCGTCACCACTGTTGCCATCTGTTCCCACTCACTTTGCTACGCTGTGTTGGACTCGTAGTATACTGATGCATTGCCACAAAATATTATAGACGAAATCTGTCCACACGAGCGCTTGCACTTGCGACAGGTTTGTTCAAAATGTTTGAAGCTTGCCTTTGAAACACCGGCTGCAAAAATGCAGCCTGGCCATTGAGCAGGTTCAATGGTTGAAAACTCAGACTCGACATTCATTTTCACCAAACACTGGGTGCAAAATAAGACTTATTGAGCAGATGACAGGTCCTGAAGTACCCAGGGCGAACTTCAGCAACTTGATTGCTCAGAATTTTGTGTTTTGACAGCTGCCAGCCATTGCCGACGCCATAAAGGTATGAGACCCCTTACATGCAGCAGTTTTGGGGACGACGTCCATTGCCAAACTCGTTCTTTCTTTGTTTTTGGTGCCTTCTGCGATGGCACAAGGAACCAAGTTACGTTTCGGTGTTGCGGTGCACCACCGGGAACTCAGGACTGCGTGTTTGGAGAAGTGTGCGGAACAGACCGGCTAAACTTGGAACATAAAAAATTTCAGGTAAAGGCGCGAGCAGCTAAGCAAGGAGATTCACATCATCAATGAACAACATGTTTTCGACGTGTTTGCAGCTTGGTCTGCGTGCTTGGTGTCTCTACTGTGATACCCACCTGGAAGTGACACTAGGAGGAAATATCGAGCGCAAGAACCTCAGGTAAGAGATTGTTTTGAGAACGCCGACTAATTCGAGAAAAGATTCGACGTCCGCCTTTTCTGAGAGAACTATGCCCCGCCCGTTGTTTTGGCCCACGAGGGCGGTGGCCGGTCTGTAGCGTCTCTCTAGATGCAACCCGTGCATCAGCTCAGTGTGAGCCTCATACATTGACAGATACCAAACACATCCAAACACCAAACAAGCAGCTAGAATTTGCCAGTGCATGTGGCCGGGACGACTGTGGATAAGGTGCCGAGCCGACTGATAGTTGAAAAACATGGAAGTCGACGTTGCTAATTGCCACTGGAAGACACGCAACAGTTTTGGTTGGGACATCCTGGGGCAGAGCCCCCTTGGACACCAACAGTCTCAGATGCAATTTCTTGATTTCAGATGTGTGCTAAGAGGTGAGTTCATAGCACGTTTGGCATGGGTTGCATCCAGACAGAAATTGGACAATTTCAATGGCTTTAAACTTTCTTTTTGCAGGTGCGCGTATTGCTTCTGAACATACCTTTTGTCTCCAACTGCTCACGTATATACCGTTGTAGGCGCCGCCTGGATGACTTTCGGCGATCACCGTGGCGCCTGCTTGGACTACCTTCCTGGACTGCGGCGCGTCCCACGTGAGGCTACCGATGTCGTCTCCCCACGACCAGTGAAGGCTCTTTTGGTCCTCCACGACCAGCGAAGGCTCTACTGTCTTTGGAGACCGTTCTTTGGGCGCCGAAAGAACGGTCTTTGACAAATTTTTCTCCCGACTTGTGGCTTGCGACGGACGGGACTTCAGGCATGTATTTGCTGACGTGTCTTCATTTTGGCCTGGTCGTTGACTTTTGGACACAACGTATTTGAAACTTAAGATTTAAACCAACCCGATTTCGATTCCGCAACACCCAAGCGAGTGCGGCACACGAATAGCGTAACAACAGGACGACGCGTGATCTCAAAGTTCAACGTTGGAACACAGCAAGGAACCCTTTTTTTGGGCACCACATGGGTTGCAGCGTTTCTTGCAACCGTGCAGAGAATAAACATGGCGAACGCTTACACTCCGACACGGCTTCGCGCGAGCCACGGCTGTCCCACTGCTGGCGAATGTCGTGGCCACGGCCGGTGGCCTGCGAAGCGTGCATTTGAACTGCAAGGGGCTGGGCCTATTGGGCTCACGAACGCTGTGTCAGAACAAGTTGAGGATTTGAGGTAAGTAGTCAAAAGACCGTGTTTGGGGCACTGTTTTGCATTCTGTTCGCCAAGGATGGCTTGTAACTGATTTTGTCGCCAAGTTATGAACGAACAATCAAATCCATTTGCGAGTGCCTTTAACACCCCTTATTTGCTCACACTTTTTTGTTTCACAGACGCGCCACCCCTCCTGTCACAATTGTCACAAAAGCTAGCCTCAGCCAGCTGTAGTCACTCTTGCTAAAGAGCCTCAAAGACTGTAAACAAATTGAATTATTCAATATCATGCCCCCCCCTCTCCGGGTTTCAACTCCCACCCTTGGGTGTGATGGTCTCTGGAGATAGGTCTGGCCATACGATGAGGCCACATTGCATGGCAGCATCGGTGTTGGCCTTGATCTCACTCATCACTTGTGTGTTTTTATTCCATCCGGCAGATTGGGAGCGGTGGTATGTACAGGGTGAAACATGCAGCCCCCGTCAGTGCAGTCACCGCGCATCCTGATTGGTGGCGGCCCAAGAGTTCGAAAAGCGACGCTGCGTATGCCGCCTGGGCGGCGACGGTATCATACACCCCCGGCCCCCAGCAGGGCTGGAGGGCGGCGCGCAGGGGCGTTGCGGAGGAAGCGTTCGCATTCAGCCCCCTGCCGCCTTCACTCGAGCGGGGGCACGGCGAGGCGGGTGCCGTCCCCGCGAATTGCGGGTAAGTCTCATGGAGGGCCCCGGGATCCCAAGCAGCAGGGGCGGGGGACCCTGCGACCCCACGATTGGTGGTGTTCGCCCAGGCAGGCCAACCGCCCCCCTGCAAGGGGCAAACGGCAGGGGAAGGCCGGCGCAGTAAAAGCACCCGGAAAGACGAGTCCGTGAAGGCAAACCCGGGGCGCGTCGGGAGGACAGTGACGCAGGGCCGAGGTTAAAACACAAAAAAAACTTCAGGAGCTTGCGCAGGTGGCCTGCAACCGCGGGCTGTTCCCAACGCTGTGGTTGGAGGCTGGCAGCAGGCCAATAGTGACCTTAACTCATTGGAGGCTGCCACACTGTTCGTTGCTGCGCTGCTTGCGCGGGAAAAAAAGCCACGGCCAGCACTGGGTAAATGTTATTTTGGGGGGGCCACTGTTTCGCATTCATCAAGGTTTTGAATTCATTTTGTACGTTGTTGTCATGGTTTGTCCTTGTTGCTGGGATGCTTGCCGTGCTTGGTGCTACACAAACGCCACAAGTGCTTCAGTTCAGTCTTGAAGCCGCAACCATATTTGCTCTCCACCAACATCCAGGTGTATGGCCCACGGCATGCCACGGTAGCTTATGGGGATGTTGGTGATATGGTCGAGTGAACATAGCATCAACCTTCCACTGCCATCATGCTGCATCTGGCAACCGCTTTTGAGCAATTGGCCCAAGGTCAGCAAGCAACTGTCACCTCTCCGAGAACTGGTGTCGTCGTCGTAGCATCAGAAGAATTCCATGGCCATGAAGAACTACAACCTTGGCAGTCCCGCCGCTTCTATGTTGTCCATGGATGCTGTGGTCTAGAAGCGTCGAAGAAACAAACTCACATCCGAACCGTCATCTATGATGATCGTCTCGGCCCCTTCTTTCTTTTCAAGAACGTCTTCCAAGACAACTTTTACATGCTGTTCTTGTGGTCCGTGTAGTGTCATCTCACTTTGGCATAGCGGTCCTTGGTCATCAATGTCAACCCCGTGGTTGAACCATTCGTAAAACTGGTCAGCCTCGTTTGTCATGTTACCAACCATTGTGCCAGAATCAAGAGAATAGGTTTCAATGTTGATTATGTTGTTTTGTCCACTCGGTTCTGAGAACTGGCAATGGACGCAACAACCCAGGAGGTTTTGGCCAAGGTCATACCTTTTTAGCTGGAGGTTTTGGCCGCTGAGGAGCACGCTGGTACGACAAGGCGAGGACAACGCCTGGCTCATTGTGGAATTTTGCAGTCGCTACATGGAGCTGGAGAACAAGACTGGTCAAATTGCAGAATGTGATGGACCATGTGATGTTTTGACAGTTCTGCACAATTCCAATGAAGAAGAAGGTGTTTTGGGTGAGATCATTGGAGAAGAACGAACACGAAGTGATGGCAACATAGTTGAACAAACAACTAGCGGACAGCCTGACTTCCAATTTGCTTTCCGCGGAGAACCAAGTGCGCCCCAAGAATTACAAGATGGTTGGACTCAAGAAGAAATGGAGCAGCCAGACACAGGCATGGGCAATGAAGCGGAAAACTTGAAGATGGCAGTAGAAGAACGTGATGTTCTGGTGATCAACGGCCATGAGATCTATCCCAACAATCCGATCAAATTTTTTTGGAATGCAGCTGAACATTTGGGACTTCCTCCTGGAGGCTCAAAAGCTCAAATTTGGCGAAGGCTCAATGAGAAGATCCAGTTGCAAGAAACCATTGAAGCATTTGAAGTGGCCAACAAATTATACCTTGAAGAAGCACGACCTCAGGGACTTCATTCCCTTCCTTTGCCGCGACAGCCTACAGAAGAAGAGGTGCAACTACATCAGCTGACACACTTACCATTTCGTTCATGGTGCCCACATTGTGTTGCATGCAAGTCGAAGGAGGACAGGCAGAGGCTGTTAGATGAGGAACCAAGGAGGAGGATCCCAAGTCTGGAGGTGGATTACTGCTATGTCAAAGAGCAGTCCCAAGAGAAAGGAACAACCGTGATGGTGGTTCTCGACACTGGTACGAATAACTTGCTGGCTATTCCAATTCCTTCCAAGGCAAGAACGCTCAAGTACCAGGCAGAGCAGATCGTACGCTTTAGCCTTTACCTGAACTACCACGACTTGATGGAGCTGGTGAGTGACAATGAACCAGTTTTGAAATCTTTGATGGAGGCAGTGAGGACCATCAGACAGAGTCTTGGGTTTGCAACTACTTTGACTTTTGCCAAGCCCTATAGCAAAGGCCGTGCGGGCCAAGTTGAACGAGCAATACAAACTCCGAGGCGGCAGGCATCAACAGTCATGCACCAGCTGGAAGAACATTGTCAGATGAACTATGGAGTTCAATATGCTTTAGTTTCATGGGCTTACATCCATGCGGCATGGCTTTTGAACCGTTTTCATTGCCACAGTACAGTGAAATGTTCACCCTTTGAATTTGTGAATGGTCGCCGCTATTCAGGTCGACTTGTGGGATTTGGTGAGAAAGTGCCCGTCCTCAACACGAGTGGACACAAGCATGGACCTCAGTGGTTTCCAGGCATAAGGCTGGGGAAAAAACAGATGGCAGTGATGACCTTCATGTGGTTTCTACACCCAGCGGCGTAGTGAAGTCAAGGGCAATCAGGCGAACAGCAAAGCCATGGAATCCCATCTACACATGGATGGTGAAAGATTTGCCCTACAAGCTGGCGGATGTGCAGAAGCGTGCACCTAGGATTGTTTCTGGATTTGCAGCTGAACCAAAACCCGTGGAGGAGCCCAAGGACAAGGATGCAGATGATGTGGAACGCTATGCGCTAGATCATGGCGACAGTGAAGAACCAGCTTTGATGGAAACAACCCAAGCAGGTCAACTTGGAGCAGAAGGTCAACAAGCCTCAACTTCCATGCAAGAGGAAGAACCAAACTTTGGCGAGGCAGGACTTCAGGTTCCAACAACACCAACTTTGCCTTCAGCTTCAGCAGAGGATGCAACAATAGAGGATGATACAGAGGTGAAAGAACCGAAGCAGAAAGCAACAAGAACAAGTCCAAACTCAAGCCCTGCAGCTCAGATGTACCCCCCGCATTTTGCAGGGAGCATCAACCGGGTGGTCAACGAGTACCAGTGGGAGCAAGACCTTTACGATGACCTCGATGGTGAGGAGATGACCCTTGAGGACTTCGAGAACGAAGAGTATGAGGACATGGAGGAGCCCACGGACAAAGGGCAACCACCTGACCTTTCGGCAGAGGAGCTTAAGAAGGTAGAAGCTGAGGCGGGGATCACAGAGATCACAAGGCTCTTAGCAATGGTCATGGAGGACCCAACTCAGGAGGAGGAAGAGCATGGCAAACTTCTTTCAACACGAAGCGTGGTCGACTGGAGATTTCGCGATGGCAAATGGCGACGGCGATGTCGCTACGTGGCTCGAGAGTTCAAGGCTGGAGACAAAGGAAACTATGGAACATTTGCGCCCACCAGTCACAATGCAGCAACAAGGCTCATGGTTCTTTTGCATTGTGTGAGGAGGTGGTTCCTATGTTTTCTGGATGTGAAAGACGACTTTTTGTTGGTTCCGCAGCAAGAAATGATCCTGGTACAAGTTCCTACATGGTGGACCCAAGCTTCTTCGCAATATTGGAGCTTGAGGAGATGCCTTCCAGGACAGCGGAATGCAGCAGCTAGATGGTTTGACTTCCTGACACCCCATCCTTTGCAAGTGGGATTTGAGAGCCTAGCATGCCTTCCAGCAATGTTTCGCCACATGAAAAAGAACGTGGTGATTCTGGCACGCGTTGATGACATGGTGATGGCTGGAACAGAGGAAGCGCTCAAATGGGCC